GGAAGGAAGGAAGGAAGGAAGGAAGGAAGGAAGGAAGGAAGGAAGGAAGGAAGGGTGAAAGAAAGAGTGAAAGAAAACATGCGATGAAGATGGACTTTCAAACCACTTAGACATGAGCTCCAGTTTCATTTTGCTGACACCTCCTAGCTAGAATGGAGGAAGTTATATAATCTGTCGATGATAGGCTTTTTTCATCTGCACTACAAATTTGGTTTATTCTATAGCCCCTGGGATTTGATGATGACTTTCAAACTTTAATGCACTGAAAGTTTCTCACCCAGAGCCTAGGCACATGATAAAATAAGTAGTGGCTATGCTGTGGGTGTGGTTCAATTGATACAACACTTGCCTAAGCATGATAAAAACCCTGGGTTTGGTACCATCACTGAATAAATTGGGTACAGTGGCACATGACTGTTGTTCCAGCACTCATGTGGTAGGAATAGGAAGATAGAAACTTCAAGGTCATCCACAGGCACATAAAAACAATCTGAGATATATGAGAACCTATCTCCCAAACAAAATAAAACAAGCAACAAAAAAAGTGGTACCTTGTTTTGGATGACAGACCAAGTTAACCATATACAAAATTGGATTCTTATCAGTCTTCCCAGTGTTTCCTCGATAACTGCTTCTACTCTCTTCCTCCTATTTCAGAAATGAATAGCTATCAAGATACTCCCACTCTATACATTGGATTCTTGTCCAAAGGACCCTGCTCTAGCCACTTTGCAGAGCTCTGAGATTCTCTACGCTTCCTCTGCTTCTGTAACACAGGTAATGCTAGCTCATGAGACCTATTTGTAGTCAGTAGGAATCTCAAAGCTACTTTGCCTATGTTCTTCATCCTGGACAATAAGGCTTTAAAAATAAAGGACATCTTCGAACAAAATATAATATGCATTCCACAGAAAAATGTCCAGATCATAATTTGAATTGATTCCACAGAGTGAACACACAGGAATCAGCAAAATCATTAACAAAATCTCAGAAGCCCCAAGGTCCCTCCCTTCTTATTACTTTCTCCAATTAAAATTATCATTTTTGGTTTGATATTTGTTTGATTTTGTGACCATTCACTGAACCTTGTATATACTGAGCAAACACTCTACTACTGAGCCTTATCTCCAAGTCCAGTGTTTAATCAAGTCTGCTTAACACACTTGCATAGATTACCTTCTTCTTTTGATTTACAGAAGATCCTCAAATAGTCTCCACATTTTTTTGAAGATTTGCTTTATGAAATCTTCTCTCATTCCATAGTTCTAATTTCTTTACTGGTAACTTGTGATGAACTAAAATTCTGAATTTTAATGTAGTTCAATTTGTTCATTTCTCCCTCTATCATTATTATTTGTTATTTTTAATCTACCCTCAAATCATGGCAATATATATACTCATCTAGAGTCTTCATTGCTTCATATTTATACCTATGTACAGTCCATCTAGAATTTCTTTTTGCTCATGGTGAGGAACACTAAAATTGGCCTTACCAGAAATGAATAATGAGAAGAGTTTAATAAGTAAGATACAGTGGTCATTTCATCTTAAATTATATCACCAAATACATTTTGGCATGAAAAGAATTGGCATTGACACTCTTGGTATGGATCCAACTTAACTCTTCCCCACTGACTCTCTCAGCCTTTCCTTCTAGCCCATCTCTGTTTCCTTTGTGTCAGCTGTCTAGCCCCAGAAACATTCTTTTTCCCATTAA